ATCAGAAAATCCTTAAAGTAATGGTATCTACACCTGTTTTCATTATTATGATGTCAATGAAGAAGTCACAATAGAATGCGACTCGTCAGATAGTGGATTGGGAGCTTGCTTATTACAGCAAGGCCAACCGATCGCCTTCTCATCCAAAGCACTATCGCCAGCAGAAAAAAATTACGCCCAAATAGAAAAAGAATGTTTGGCAATTGTATTTTCCTGTGAGAGATTTGACCAATATCTACATGGACGAGACATTATAACAGTACACACAGATCACAAACCACTTGTGTCTATTCTTCAAAAGCCAATACATCAAGCTCCAAAGAGACTACAAAGAATGATGATGAGATTGCAGAAATACAACTTAAAGCTCACACATATATCAGGAATCAATATGTTTATATCAGATATGTTATCGAAAGCTTATCTACCAGAAGTTCCAAAAGATGAAAGCATACCAAGATATAATATATTCCAAACGCAAAAACAAGACAATTTGTTTCAAGAAATCTCAGGAATCCATCAAATTGATCATATGAATTTATCAGAGGGAACTCATCAACAACTTAAGGCAGCAAACATGACAGATCCAGTTTTACAAACTTTAGCAACAACAGTAATCACTGGATGGCCTGAAACTAAAGAATCTGTACCTAGCAGTATTCGAGAATATTGGAATTTTTGAGATACACTGACTGTACAGGATGGCATCATCTACAAAGGAGAAAAAGTAGTAATACCAAAACTGATGAGAAATCAAATGGTAGTCCGTACACACTCCAGTCTTCTAGGACAAGAAGCATGTATACGAAGAGCTAGAGATGTTTTATTCTGGCCTGGAATGTCTGGTGAAATTAGAGACAAAGTCAGTCAATGTAATATTTGTTCAGAATTCGCAGATCATCAGCAAAAAGAACCGTTAATGACAACTTCAATCCCTAATCATCCATGGTCTAAAGTAGCCCAAGATTTATTTACACTACGAGGAGAAAATTATTTAGTCACAGTAGATTATTACAGTGATTTCTTTGAGATAGATCACCTAGAAGATACGTCATCAATTGTTGTTATAGAAGCTACTAAGAAACACTTTGCACGATATGGAATAGTAGATATAGTTAGCGATAATGGTCCACAATTTACCAGCGAAGAATTTAACAAATTTTCCAACGAATGGGAATTCAAACATTATACAAGTTCATCATTACACAGTCAAAGTAATGGAAAAGCAGAATCGTCTGTAAAAATCGCAAAATGTTTAATTAAGAAAGCCAAAAGAAGCGATTCAGATATATCACTATCATTATTAGAATGGGGAAACACACCAGATATTAATGGATTTAGCCCAGTACAGAAATTAATGTCGAGAAGAACTAAAACAATATTGCCCATGTCAGAATCTTTGTTACAACCTCAAGTTGTTACCGATGTGCCTGAAATGATTAAAACTAAGAGACAAAAAGCCAAACTTTATTATGATAAAACTGCCAAGCAATTACCTGAATTAGAAATTGGAGATGCTGTTAGCCTTCAACCTCAGAAGCCGAAACAATCATGGACTTCTGGTACTTGTGTTGGACAAGCCGGACCGAGATCATATCTTATAGAAACAGAGAAAGGGATATATAGGAGAAACAGAAAGTTTGTCCGAAAACACAATTCGTCAGAAAGTCAGCCAGTCACATATACACTTAAAAATACAGACTCTTATCCTCAATTAGCTTCACATGTAGAGAAATTAGCCAATGAGAATCTAGCAAGTCCAAATGTAACCGCTAAATCTAAATCAATGAATGTTCATCCAAAAATACCAGATAAGCAACCAGATTAATCAATGAAAGCTCAACCGAAAATACCGGATAAGCAACCAGATGAGTTCAAATTTGAGATCAAAACCAGAAGCGGAAGACATGTCCGTAAACCTGAAAGATATCAATGACTTTTATATCAATTTGTGTTCTAGTGTTCATTTTGAATTTGATTTTAAAGTAATTGATTTCAAAAGACTTTAAAACAGCAAAACATTTATTGTGTTACCAGTAAACTCAAAGTTCTATTTTAGTTTATATAGATTTAAGACATTAAAGTTTAAAGTGACAGTAAAACTCATACATGTATTTAAGTTAAGAAGGGAAATGTTGAGTGTGTAACTTTTCATAGGTCAAATGTCAAATACCAAACTATGATTGATTGTAAGGAGTTGGCTCAGGCTATTGTAAAAGATGTCTGTCGTACAATTAACTATTAAATGCTGATTGTTAGTTTATTAAAGTCTACAAATAGTTCGCAGACTAGAACAGTGTGTGTGAAATACTGTTATTTAACAGCCACTTCCAGAAAAAATAATTAGGTCAAAGTCATTGATCAAGATCAATTTGCAGAAAACTGAACTCAAACCTTTCAAATTCAGTTTTTGGATTTTAGACCTTGACTTGCGCCCCTCACGCCGTAACCATCTTAAAAGGCTATAAACTAATTGGCTTTGACCATCAACCTTTATCTTGGTCCTGTCACACACTGCTTGGTCAGAAAAAGGTGAAATGCAGAGGGTCTCCAGTCATGAACGCTAACCAACCGTGACCCCGACTTTGACCTGAGTCCAAATTTCTCATACAGCTCGGGGCCTTTGCACTTAGATGTACCATGGTCTTATTTCTTGCTGTATTATCATGGTTAATGTTCAGGGTGAAAGCAGAAAGGATGCCCTTCAGAAAAGATAATTGAGTCAAAGTCGTGGTTCAAGGTCAAGTTAGAGAAAACTAAACTCAAACTTTTCAAATTCAGTTTTTGGACATTTGGCCTTGACTTACGACCTTCACCCTTAACCATTTTAAAAGGGCATCATTGTCTTTTAACTTTTGCTCCACCCTGCGGCTTATTAAATCGATCTACTACGTCAGTCAGTTAATCCGAGCCCGTATTACTAGCATTAAATACACAGTTAAAATCCCCAACATAGGTCAACCCGTTAACACGATCTTCATTAATACGACAATTTGTTCTTCAGACATTTTGCTAGTTTTATAGAGTTAACGACCCATAAATCTAACAGTCCGTCCATTAGAGCGAAAATTCGTTCTTCAGACGTTCTGGTAGATGACCTTGAAATCTAACAGACCTCTATTTCCATCGTCCCTTAGTATGACCCTCTCATATTTTCAGTATAATACACACAGTTAACTTTCCATATACCGTTATCAAGAACCTCTAATACTTTCGAACATTATAGGCTTGTTACAGTCATATTTACTTTGTAAAAAATTTATTTCCATATATCATAACATGTAATTGTCAACAATATCACTTCGGTGGAAGTGGCAGTTAAATAACAGTATTTCACACACACGACATAGCGATACGTTGACAGGCTGAACTTTCATACATCATCCAGAAAAAGAAGATTTTGTAAATTAGTGCGACGTTAGGAAAATATTATAAATTCCTCACCCCTCCTTAGCATATTAAATAACCAATTATCTTTTCTGAAGGACATCTTCTCTGCTTTCACCCCGGACATTAACATCGATAATACAGGAGGAATAAGGGCATAGCACACATAAATTCACAGGCCCCGAGCTTGATGGGATATTTGAAGTCAGGGTCAAAGTCAAGGCCACAGCGACATTCACAAGTACAGGCCAATGCAACGCTAAATAGTCTTTATAGAAAATGGTGGCTTGGTGCAAAAATAAAAATATACGAAAATTGTTATTATTATGAACTGCAGCATTAGGCAAGAAGCGCAGTGTGCCGGAATCTGTCTTAGTGTTTTGTTATTCGAGTCTAAATAGTCAACAAACAAAATGACGTCTATCGGATAAACGTATCTCTCAGTAGAAGCTAAAAGGTTGGTAAAAAGCACAGTTTGGAACATAGCAACTCTGCTTTTAATTGAGGTACAATGTTTAAACTTGATGTAGATGTTCATTAGGTGAATGTCTGGACTGAGTTTCATGATTAACATTTCCTGCTAAAGCTAAGCAGAACTGAACAATTTCATTGGCCAATGCTTTGGGACTAGTTCCTGTACGTTCAGGAACTGCCCTATTGACTCCTTGTCGAAAAGTTTTCGGCCCCCAAGTCAATATTACTGGACTACTTTTTACTGCTAAATGCTCAAGTGTCAGTCCCTGTGAATGCCTGTACAATGCAAAAGAACAATTTAGTGAGAAAATAAGACCTTGCTTACCTCGCTACATGCAGTATTTGCGACACAGCATGCTCTTAAAAATACGCTGCCTTCTGCTAAACAGTATGGCAGCAGTCATTGAACTCTAAATATAGGGTAATGCAGAAATTTACAACCTCGGCAATAGAAGATAACCAAAATTCAGATAAAATGACAAAAGTTATGATCCGATATGTATGAAATTTATATGCATTATTAAGATCGCTAAAACGAAGAAGCCTATTGAATTTCAACAATTACTTCTAGACTAATGGTGGCCCTTGTTTCATTTTGTTAGTGAAAAGCTCTATCGACAACAGTTAACATCCGATCTGTATGAAATTTGTATGCATTATTAAGATCAGTAAAACGAATAAGCCTATTGAATTTCAACAATTTCTGTTGATTTCTTCTAGAGTTATGGCCCTTGTTTCACTTTGTTGAACCATGTGATGCTCTAACGACTAAAGTTATCCTCTGATCTGTATGAAATTGATATGCATTATTTAGATTAGTAAAACATAAATATGTGACAACCCTTGTTGACTGCTTGAACGATTTAGCTGCTGTGGGCATATGTTTCATTGGCTGGCTACCTATCTTTCTACCAAATTACTGTCATTGGACTCCCCCGCCCCTCCTTCTGTATCTCGGAAAAGCCCAAGCAAATGTTTAATAACCACTCAGAATCGAAATTTAAACAAATAACTGCTTTAAAAAACCTTGGTCTCTAATAAAATTCCCCTTTCGGGTAGCGATACTCCCCCTTGAGCCACCGAACTAATTGTAAGATAAGTTACTAATATCACTAAATTGTATACAATTGTTTTTGTAGGATTGTGTTTTATTTCATGATACAGTCTATCATAATATTCAATACGGTAATCTACATAAATCACCAGAAGAAGTGTATCAGGCAGCTAGAATGGCTGAGATTCATGATACCATTAATAACAGATTTCCAAATAAATATAATACTCAAGTTGGAGAAAGAGGTCTTAAATTGTCAGGTATTGCCACTTAATTTAAACTGTAATTTAGAATTTTGTAAAATTGTGTTATAAATTCATAATGTGAACTACCGTTGCCCCTGTCTTATCGGATTGTCTTCAAACTTTTATATACTTATTCCTTGATTATACGTCCACATTACCCCGCCCCACCTTCCCAAAAAGGGAAACAACCGAAGGCTGTATTTAACAGATAGAATTATGACATTTTGGTTCTTTTATTAACAACTGTGGACGTTATCTGTCCTCGATTAGTAGGACCGGTGTCAGATGCTATTAAACACATTTACATTAAACATTGGTCCAGCTAATCGAGGACCGTGTTTGAAAATGGTTGGATTGGTCTGTTATCAGCATTCTGTGTAACAATATCAAGACCAGACTGGCAATAATGTATTTGAAATTAAAAAAAACAAAACAATGTCAAATACCTCAAGTACTGGGGTTGAAAATTATAATTCTGAGGAAAAACGTGTGTGTGTATGTGTGTGTGGGTGTAGGGCTACTATAAATCGAGGACATATTGATTCATGTATTACCAATCGTTGACGTACGTGTTGTCTCCCCTTTGACCACATGTCGAAAAAATTTTGTTCTCTGAAGACTGGCCAGTACTATGAATTACAAAAATATGTATCAAAACATGATTATAATACCGGGTACACTCCCTTTGACTTTGTCATTGTAAACATGGACACACAACTGTTTGATTGATAGAAAATGATGAATTAAGGCGTGTGTGCGTAGGATTACTATAAATTGAGGACACATAGATTCATGTATCAAAAATCGTGGGGGTGATCTGTCGAGGAAAGCAAGGGACTATTAAAATGGGTTCGTCCGTCCGTCACACTTTTTGGAATACAATAACTGTCTATCTAATTGACCTAGAATGTTCAAACTTGTTGTAGGTGTCTATTAGGTGAATGCTTTGATGGAGTTCGAAGATGAGAATTTTCTGGTTAGGGTAAGCAGAGATAAGCAATTTGATTGGTTGATGCTTTGGGACACGATAACTTTAGTTCTAATTAAGTGAGAGTGTGGACACTTGGTGTATAGCTTTATTACATCAATACCTTGACTAAGTTCGATAATGAACATTTTCTGCTGAGGGTCAGCAGAGCGATAAGCAATTAGATTGGCCGAGACTTTGGAACACAATAACTCTCCTTCTAATTGAGCTAGAATGTTCAAACTTGTTGTAGGTGTTTATTAGGTCAATACCTTGATGGAGTTTGAAGATGAGCTTTTTCTACTTGGGGTAAGCAATTTGATAAGTGAGAGTGTGGACACTTGGTGTATAGCTTTATTACATCAATACCTTGACTAAGTTTGATAATGAACATTTTCTGCTGAGGGTCAGCAGAGCGATAATCATTTGATTGGTCGAGACTTTGGAACACAATAACTCTCCTTCTAATTGAGGTAGAATGTTCAAACTTGGTGTAGATGTTCATTAGGTGAATGCCTTGATGGAGTTCGATGACGAACATTGTCTGCTTAACGTATGGATGTTACACCTCATTTCTCTCTATTTACCCATAACCATTCAGAATACGAAATGTGATTGCACAGAAAAGTTAAAAATCTAGCACAACTTACAGAATTATATAACAAAGTATACTATAAGTATCTACACTGTAACCTTGGTACTGTTTAATCTTGCGTAAATAGCGCTAATTTCTACTCGGTGTACAATTATTCATAAATATTGTTAAATTTCGGCTAATTGTGCTCAATTTGTACTTCTATCAAATTTCACTCTGTTTAATTTTGATTACCAAGCATGTAATTAACTAGTGTTTAGTTTCTCGACACGTGTTGAATTATAAGCGTCCCGTCTAATTAGCAAGACTGTTCAATAATTAGTTGGACCGTTCAATTTCCCGAGCCGTGATTAAAAATTCGTCAAGGTGTCCAGTTACGCAAGGTGTTAAATTTTGTTGTCCAACATCTAATTTCACGTGCGATGTTCAGATATAACGATGTGTTTAGTTGTTGGTCATCGTTCAGTTTTGCAGCACAATGTTGAAATACTGTAATTAGTGTTAGTTTTAGTACTGACCTGTTGCGATACGATGAAATATTATTTTTCAGGATTCATATGACGGCAAGTATCTGTAATGCCTGTTATTATTTGGGGATTATTTTTCAAGATCATTACGGTGAAACAGATGTTAGATTTTTAATGGCGACGGGACGGTTCCGAAGCAAAGCTTTCTCGAGATACACATACCGTTTCGTCCACAATCATAAAACGTGTATTTATATATCAATTTAAAACAGTATTTCCCACACTGACAACACATCCACGAATGATAAATCTCACGCATCGGATTTACGTGTGTACACGTCGACTCCCTACCCTGATTAAATCCTTTTGTTTAAATGTCTTCGCAATTAAGACTAACACTAACAGCATGGATATTGCACCAATCATATATTACATAATATGGGATCTATAGAAAGCATTTTGGGTTGAAGGGTAGTGCGATTATCTCGGGCAATAAACACAGAAGGCTTGTAGAAGGTAATTGGCTGATTGGGACCATGGCTGATTGGGACCTGGCTAACTGGGACCAGATTTGTGGCTGACTGGGACCAGATTTGTGGCTGATTGGACCAGATTCTTGGCTGACTGGGACCAGATTTTTGGCTGATTGGAACCACGACAAGGCTCATTCGGACCATTACTTAAATGATGCGAGTATTTAAAATATGTTGGCATATTTTTGATAATAAGACAACTATGACAATAAATAGTGTAATTAGTCACAAATAATAGTGTAATTAGTGAATGAAGGCTTCAATACAAATGAGCTAAATCACAGAGAAGATGCTTCACATTCTTGGTTGATTGGGACCAGATTCTTGGCTGATTCGGACCATGATCAGACCAATGACGAGAGTGTTTTAAATATGTTTGCATGACAATAAATACTACCCAGTATTAAAAATTGTAACCCAATATCAAATAGCCTCATATCAGTATAATTACTGCAACGAATGCAATATTTTGTAATGAGTGAAGTTGAAAAAATGACAGACAAATTGTTCTTTGTATAATATTTTAATTAGTAAATATCATTTTATTTCATTTAACGAGACATTTGGTGGCGATTCAATTCCTTTACAAACCAATATTTTATTAGTAGCCGAGACAGAGACCTTCCTGATCTAAACAAGTGTTGAATGCAATACACTAAATTGGTTGACAAATGTGTAAAATTTTCTTAGTAATGCACATTAAACAAAGTTAATTAAATCACACTTTATAGTATAAAACTCCAGTAGCAATATACAAGACCTTAATCACACCATTTATTGTTATGACAAGCCTAGTAATCCAATAAACAATCAGATCCAATCACACAAATTCCCTGTTGTGGCTGTCATTAAGATCTGAGTAGTCATATCATGTAGTCATATAGTACACTTTCCTAGATATCACCTACCTGTTTACTTGTGTTAAAATTTAGTCTATAAATCTATTATGATTTTTTCTTTACAAGGTAGGATTAACATTTTGACTGCTTTTATATACATCATATTTGAAATAACCGATTACCGTTGCTACTGTATTGCTGGTATTAATTTTCAAATTTGTATGGGTTAAACATTATTTCTATAACATAATTACACACAATATATGTATAATGGATTCGGATTTCCGTTATGCTACTGTATTGCTAGTATTAGTTTTCAAATTTGTATTACTTATTGAAATTAGCATAAATTGGTTTAAACAATATTTCTACGTATAATTACACACAATATATAGGCTATAATGGATTCCGAAACATCCTATGAAGTTTATAAAATAAAATAAAAATGGTCTGTTTAAGTTGCATAAAACGTATGATAATTTACATAAGATTAATGAGATAATCTCTGTTATTATAGTAACTGCGACATAAAAAAATGGAATATAAACATAAATAACATAGGCCTACATAAAAGCACATAATTATAGTCACGCTAAAGCCTAGATAAAACTCCTTTAAACTTAATTAAATATCAAAACCTCAGTTTCTAGTATTTTTTATCCTGTGGTCTGAATCAGTCTAGTGGTGGTCCCAATCAGCCTGGAATGTGGTCCCAATCAGCCATGGGCCCAATCAGCCATGGTCCCAATCATCTTGGTTCCTTGTAGAATTAATACACATGTGTCAGAAGCTAACAATATGTCTATTGTGTAAGACAAAACGTGAAAATAAACTAATAATTCGAACTCTTTATTTCTTTTTATTATTATAGAACGAGGACCCGTTTTCGCTGAAGATCAAATACAACCTACTAAATACATTTCATGCTTATATGTAACGCATAACTTTATTTCAGAGAAAGCCAATTTAAAAAGGAATTGTGTCATATATTTAAGTTTAATTTTTAATAAAGAATGGGGATATCTTAAATAAGTTAATTCAATGTTTTTGTGGCATGTACTATATTAGATGAGATCGAAAGAGCATTTTAGATTAGGGGTTACAGAACAACAAGTAAGGTGGAATTAAAAAGACGAACGGAACTGTTCTTCAGACTGAATGGCGACGCCAATCTTAAAATTTTACTGAGTTCGTGCTGCCATACTTTCTAGGCAGAAATAGCTCTTTGGAATTAATGTCTTCGTTAGAACTTTTGGCATTTACCTGTGACAATAATTTTAGCTTCGTGCAAAAATCGTGAAGCATATAGTTTCAACTTGGAAAAAATGTTATAAAATGGCTAACAAACAATCAGCATTGTTGATTGTAAAATATTCTTGGTTCATTTTCTGCTTGAACGATTGCTGAATACCATGGACACGTATATCAGTCCGATAATACCTTGCTGACTTTTTCATTTCGGCACCAAAGAGTCTGGTTGATGCATACTGTCAATCAAAGTTCCATAATGAGAATTGACACGTAACATAAAAAAAAAACATTGACAGAACGTAGACGCCACTTTAACAACAAACTGTTACCTTGCTGTAGTTGTGTGGACAATATGACTTTTAT